GATCAATAAAGCCACAGAATGCCTTATTAGTCTCCCTGTAGAAAACAACGTGCTCGAAACATTAAAATTTCTCATCATTAAAAAGAAGGAAGAAGAAGAAGAAGAGATAACCAAAGCTACATTAAAGTAGAGTCATCCAACATAAGCAAAGCTAGACAAACAATTTCTATAGAAACACATGCTCGAAACATTAAAATTTCTCATCATTAAAAAGAAGGAAGAAGAAGAAGAAGAGATAACCAAAGCTACATTAAAGGAGAGTCATCCAACATAAGCAAAGCTAGACAAACAATTTCTATAGAAACACTAGTATTCGCTAAATCTAGACATACAACTGTGACAGAGAGAAGGCGGAGTTACAAGTATTTGACTTGTTCAAACTTGGCTTTAATAGTTTGAAATTAAAACTTATTTCAGATACTTGAGATCAATCTACCTTGCGAATTTGGGGGAAAAGGCAAAGGTTAGGTTTTTTTTCTCTAAGGACGTGATCGACAAACTTTTGATCCTTTTCGGTTATTTAAATATATTAGCAAAATTTATACTCAGTTTGACGTGAAATGTTAAAACTCCATGTTAAGGCCAGGTGTTATAACATAAAAGGATGAATAAAGGAACCTGACGTGCCATTTCACCTTCCCTTGCTAGTGAACAAGGAGGTCCAGTTTATATTCAACAATTGAAACTTTACATTCATAAATGGACCATGCCCTAGTTTATCTGAAGAATTAATACAGGTCATAATGAGGTCATAATACTTTCACAAACAAACTCATTTACAAAAACTAATAATATCAGATAGTAGATTTTCTGTTGAACACCAAATATGTGCAAGTGGTGTGCTGCATGCCAAAATTTACATACCGGATGAGGCTTTTCATTCTGTATTGTCTCATCCCTGGGCAGCATAATGCATCAATTGCAATGATTCTGGTTTTACGTCTTCCAAGAGAGTCCATTTCCTTCTTGTCCACATAGTCACCAGAAAAGCGGAATGAAGAAGCATATCTACACTTAAGAGAGATTGGATCAGATTGCAAAGAAAAGAGGTGTAAAAAAGTTAAAATGATTTGTTTTTAGAATCTAATTTAAATAATTAAATGCTTGGAGTTAGCAGAATTTACTATATATAGCTCCAGAATAACAGACACAATAACTAATTCTTTCTACGTCTTAATATGCAGACCAACACTTAAAGGACTTTTGAGTTTTGACACAGGGCAGTAATGCTCACCCTGTATATTTTGAAAACCTTTCTGCACCAACAACTTCTATGGACTCATTATCTGCTAAGGCAGGTAAGAAAAGCATTCCAGCAATTAATTCGGGATTAACCATAAAACGAATCTCCTCCTACATGAGATTGTAGTAAAAACAGTTTCAGATCGCAACTAAATCATGGTCTTCTCATAAATCATGCAAAAGCGTCTTCACGATTCATGAAATTAAAACAAGCAATTCTCCAAAGCTTACTAGGCATGTAACGAGGCCCTGCAAGAAAGGAAATTAGAACTTTTTAGTATGTCTATGAAGCAGACCTGTACACAGCCCCTGTGAAGAGCACCACCTCCTAGATATTTATTTGCAAAATCCACTTCAAGAGCCCCCTTTGATTGATCTTCTATTAAGCCTGAACTGTGAGCCTGCAAAAATGTGAAAGTGCTAAGTTACGAAATCATATATGCTGACATTAAGACATTTTATGATGATTTCAACTAAATATGATTACTCTGCTTGTTATTATTACAACACATTCGATCTGTTTCATTTTTTTCTTCTCTTTTTATTACCTCAAATTGGCACAAAGGAACTGTAGAAGTGCCCCAAAACTTAGCATCTGGATATGAAATGCATAAAGGGCGATGCCCCAAAGCAAGAACCTTTCGCTCAAATGACACAGAGCCCATAGGGATATTTGCACATATCCGTTCAAAATAGTGTATAATACAGTTTATCTTACTCTCCTGATTTTGATTGTGACTTCCATATAAACTCCTGCAGTGCCACCAAAGTTAAATGGCATGAGAAGAAATACAATAAATTGAAACATGTCGGACGTATAAATTATTGCAGACAATAACCTGAGTTGGGAAAGACAAGCATAAAAACTATATATATACATACACTAAAAGTTACAAAATAGCTTTTAAATACTTACCGCTACCCTTTTAACATTGATATTTTATAACACTCAGAAAAAGTATGAACACTTAGGTCACAGAAAATTAGACTGGAATCCCTCAAGCAAAACTCATTACTTTCCATATGAATAATGTCGATTTCCACAAGATATGTCCATATGCATATACTGTTCCACGACTCCCACAATTGTCACTTTTCAAAAGAGTAAATATTTTCTCCATATTGACAAATTTTATTTAACTAATTACATATTATCTTATTTAAAAATAAAATGTTATATAACCAGCCACTCCATGGCAGAAAAAACTAATATTCTCAGTGATCGAAAATTCTCAATTGTTGAATGTTATTACCACAAGATGTAACCCACCCCTTTATTTGAACTTTCATGTCTATTAATGTAATACAAGATTGAAATTAGTTGTATACTCACAACCCCTCAAAAGAGGGTTAAGGTCACATACGCGAAGAGATGATCAAAGTTGATTGTTGGAAGATGTTTGTCACCTCTGGTAGCAAGTGGGAACAAACAAAAGAAAGAGCATCCTAGAAGAGCACCAACCAATTCCTGAGAAGCCAGTCAGACATTTGTAAGTCTGATTACTTTTTTTTTTTTTTTTGCTAATGATCAGTCTAATTACATTAATATAACAGAAAAACGCAGAAACAGATAAAGATGGCTATTTTGCATAAACTAATGTGCAAATTAGGATAGAGTAGAACTAATTGATTCCACCACACACAACACC